GCTGCCCGGCCCATGTCCTTCCTCCGCGTCCTCGCTGCGCGACTAGAATACGCGCGAACGGACGTTTCTCGGCCAAAGGCGTTCCAAGCCCGAGTCTCATCGCCCTCTTCACGCCCGCTTCCACGTCCTCTGCGCCCTCGCCAGCACCCCCCTCCCAGCGGGATCCCCAGCATCCCGGCTCCTCCCCAGCCTTTCCGTTCTGTGTCTGAAAAGTGGGCGAGAGCAGCTTGGCATCCCCCCACCCGCCTCCTACCACCGGCTCAGAGTTGTCTGCTCCGGGGCCGGCAGGACAGTTTCTGACCCTCGATGAGATTACATGCCTCTCCGCGCCGGGCCTGCTGGTTCTGAGTTACAAAGACACACCTTGGCTGGGTGCCGTGGCTCAGGCCTGCAACCCCAGCCCTTTGGGAGGCCGGGGCAGGAGTACTGCTTGACGCCAGGAGTTTGAGGCCAGCTGGGACAACACAAGGCCCCATTTCTACACAAAATTAAAAAGTTAGCCAGATGTGGTGGCCCTTACAATCCCAGCTACTTGGGAGTGGGATGAGGTGGGAGGATGGCTTGAGGTCAGGAATTTGAGGCTGCAGTGAGCTATGATCACACCGCTGCACTGCAGCCTGGCCCACAAAGCAAGACCCAGTCTTTTAAAAAGCTGCAAAACTAGAGGCTTGGTGTGAAGAGAAAGTTCGGTCCACACAAGACTCTCCAGGTCAAGTGGCGTTCCCCAGCACCATCCTGCCTCCAGAGGGCAGTGTCTGGTGGTGCAACCTCCCTGGCTGGGTGTGCACAGAGCCTTGCTTGTGTCATGTGTGTTCTGCAATTTGCTTTTCCTCCTGCACCGCCCACTTCTGTCGCTCCGACCTTTAGACCTGTGCTCTGGGCTGACCTGCCAGTTCAAGGTCCCAGCTGCTCCCGGCCCAGTGGTGTGGCTCGGTGTCCTTGTCTCTGGGAGCGTTGACCTGAGGAGCGCTGGTGTTGTGTCCACTTTCTCAGGCTGCTTTCCATTTTCCCCTCTGATTACACGTAACGCTGGGGGTATTCGTGAAGTTGTGTGACATGAACAAAAGAGCTGTGGTCCAGGGCACACTTTGAGCCTGCTGGTCTCCGCCTAGAGTCTGGCGTGCCTCTGGCCACACCACTGTCCCCAGCCGCAGGAGTACCCAGGTGTGCGGCCACCAGCGCTGGGCAGTGCTGGGGGCTCTCAAGGTCTAGTGTTGCCCCACACGAGAGCGGCCCAGAAGTGTGCTTTGTTTGGCCGCCGGGTGCTTTCTCCCTCCTTCCCGGGCTCGAGTCCTGGTGTCTGACGGGCCCCTGCCCGGCCTGCACAGTGAGCGCTGCGTTTGATTTCAGACAGGCTGACGGTCGCAAAGTCCTGCGGTCGAGCATCCGCGAGTTCCTATGCAGCGAAGCCATGTTCCACCTGGGGATCCCCACCACGCGGGCCGGGGCCTGCGTCACGTCCGACTCCACGGTGGTGCGCGACGTGTTCTATGATGGTAATCCAAAACATGAGAGGTGCACGGTTGTGTTGCGTATAGCTTCCACTTTTATAAGGTAATGCCGGAGTCCTGCAGACCTGTCTATGTGCACTTGCTTATGAGTCGCAGGGGATTGTGCTCATGCAGCTAGAACGTCCAGCGGGACAAACCGGGGACAGCCTGGCCTCTCAGAGACCCCTGCCTATCTATGAAGTAGACACTGCATCTCCTGGGAGGGATTTCCTGTGTAAGAGGCACTTGGCATTTTCTGGGTCGGGGCTCTGTGCTGTGTGTGGATGCTTGTGCCAAGCCCTCGCACCCTCATCCCAGCTCTTGTGGCTGTAAGAGGGAGGTGGAGGTGGCCTTCTGGGACCGGGACCCTTGAGGCACCAGCAAGAGGGGCAGGACCTTGGGTACCAGAGGGCCCCTGAGTGGCACTTCCAGGAGGAGCGGCAGCCGGGTGTGTGGGACGTGTGCAGAGCTGTTTCCTGAGAGCCTGACAAGGAACTCCTTAGCCCTGACCAAGGAATCGGCCTCCGTGAGCACTGCTATCAGCAGGCGGGCATTAGGCTTGACTTGGCATGCTGCGGTCGTCACGGCCATCCTACCAGCCCCCCCACCCCCGTCGCTCACTCAGTCCCTTTGTGCTGGCTTCTGTCTGTGAGCAAGCCTGTTCGTCTCGTGTCACCTGCCGTTGACGTCCAACACGTCCTCATTCTGATGACCTGGGCTCAAGAGTTGTCCAGAGGTGGCCATAGCCATCGTGGCACTCCGTCCTGCCAGGGCTGCCCGGGCCTGAGGCTGTGTGGGGCTCCGGCTTCTCCTGTCCTCTGTGGGTGGGAAGCCTCAGGGCAGAGGTGTCCTGACCCCAGGAGACCCTAACATTCGGGGAGGGTGTCCACGCCTTGCACGGTGTTCCTGGCCTCTGCCCACCCGTGGCTGGTGGCAGCCCCAGTGACAACCAGAGTTGTGTCCACACAGGGATGATCACCCTGGCTGAGGACTCCTGCTGGCCACTCACATGTGTCCGTGGCCTGGCTTGTACCCCCCAGGACACAGTGACAGGCTGTGTCCCTCTGGGTGGAAGGGCACGCAAGAGTCCTGCTCATGGGGTGGGGGTAGAGCTGACCTGGGCGGCTTCCAGCCCTGGGCCTCCCCTGCGCATGCCCCGACTGCAGAAACGTGTCTGGTCAGTGGCAGGAGTTTGTCTCTTAGGGCAACATTCTGGTGGGCTGCTTGGTAGGTCAGGTCCTCTCCCTGCTGTGTGGCGAGGGGAGCCGACCACAGCTTCCTCTTAGCTTCCAGAAGGCTGGGTGCTGCTTGACTGTGGAAATCTTGGTTTCCACTCCAGGTTTGGCTCCTTTGAGATCTTTAAGCCCGCAGATGCGCTCACGGGCCGTGCAGGCCCCAGCGTGGGGAGAAACGACATTCGCGTGCAGATGCTCGACTATGTGATCGGCTCTTTCTACCCGGAAATCCAGGCCGCCCATGCCAGTGACAGCGTGCAGAGAAACGCCGCCTTCTTCCGAGAGGTGGGGGCCGCAGCCGCCACTCTGCTTGCTGTGGC